CTGACGGCAGCATTTCGAGGTTCGTGAATGTGAACGCCGGCGTACCGCAGGGATCCGTCCTATCTCCCACGCTTTTCCTTCTGCATATCAATGATATGCTTCCACTTGGGAATATTCATTGTTATGCAGATGATAGCACTGTTCATGGGGGATATCATGGATTTCCCGCAGCTGGGCGCGCCGATACTGACAGAGAGCGATCTGATCTTGTCGTTGAGCTCAATAGGATATTGGACCTCATATCTGCATGGGGATCCAGTAATCTTGTTGAGTTCAACGCCAAGAAAACACAGGTTTACGCGTTAACAATAAAATTGTCGCCGTTCCTTCCCATGCCTTCTCTGATGAGCACAGCACTTTCACCTCAGAGCAGTTTCACCTTGCTCGGTATGGAAATCTGCTGTGATTTGAATCCAAGGAGCTACATCGAATCTGTGATCAAAACAGCCTCACGGAAACTCGGAGTCCTGAACAAGGTGCGACGTTTTTTCACGCCGGACCAGTTATGCCTGCTGTACAAAACACAGGTCCGGTCTTGCGTTGAGTATTGTTCGCACTTGTGGGACGGCTCCGCCAAGTACCTACTCGATGCCTTGGACAAATTACAGCGTCGTGCTACTAGAATTATAGGCGACGAAGAGGTCTCATCACGCCTTGAACCTCTGCAACTGCGTAGAGATGTTGCATCGCTTAGCGCCTTTTACCGCATGTACCATGGTGAGTGCTCTGAGGAGCTGTTCAACCTCATCCCCCCTTCCCCGTTCCTGCTCAGAAGCACGCGTGCTGGCCTTCGTAGTCACCGTTTCACTACCTGCCGCATTCCATCGCGTACTAAAAGGTTCGGTGGCTCCTTTCCCTGCCGCACGGTTGACAAATGGAACTCCCTTCCGGCACATGTCTTCCCTCCCTCTTATGATATGGGGTCCTTCAAACGAGGCGTGAAGAGGCATATTGTAGGCAGGCAGGGTGGAGGCGGCTAGTGCAGTGAGGATTCCATCGCTGCACTAGGTTCCTTCGCGTTTGGATACCACTTTCCACTTAACATCAGGTGGAGTGGAGTCATTTGCCTGTCAGGTATAAAAAAAAAATAAAAAAATAAAAAAAAAATACAACACCTAGAGGTGCCGGTGATGATTTTATACCGATTTATCGGATATCGAAGTTATAACAGGTAAAAGAACTAATACTAATTGCGATTTCGTTAACTACTCTAGCAAACCATCAAGTTTTTAATGTCTGGGTCTGTCATTTAAAAAAATAAACAACTTCAAAAATACGTCACGACAATCGTGTGTTATTGTTTGGGCTGGTGAAGTCGGTGTTTTACCCTGTTTTACGAAGTTTACCCTGAATATAAATGTTTATAAACTATACTTTAAGGAGTAATTTCATGGTAAACGTTAGAACCACTCAAACGGAATATTATAATATTTACCCAAGTACACCAAAAATTTCATTAGTGCTTTTTAAGTGCAGGATTTGCGGTGTATAACTGCATTTTATTTGAGATGTTTTTATTGTAGTACGGAGGGTATTTATTTAGCAATGCAGAGTAATAATTTTTATTTTTAAAAACTTGTATTTAAACTGAATCCTTTCTAATTTACGAAACCAAATAGCCGCCATTTTGCGGTAGGATGAGCGCATCGCGTGAGCGGCTAGTAAGCGTATTAAGCGTGTGCCGGCCTGTTATGCCGAGTACGCGTCAACATGTGAACGCCTAGCACAAATCTTAAGCGCTCATTGAAATTTGGACATCTAGTACACATGTTAAGCGCGCGTCGACATGCACGCGCTAGTACTCGAGTTATGTACGTGTCAGCATGGGTACGCCTAGTATGCGTGTTAAACGCGCGACGACATGTATATGCCTAGTATGTGTGACAAGCGCGCGTTGAAATTTGAACGCCTAGTACGCTTGTTAAGCGCGCGTTGTGACTTTAACGCCTATTACAAATATAAAGCGCGTGTTGAAATTTGGCGTATTATGCGCGCGTCATCATATGGGCGTCCAGTACGCGTGGCAAGTGCGTGTCGGCATTAGTACGCCTACTACGCGTGTTAAACGCACGTTGACATGTGAACGCCTAGTACGAGTGTTAAGCGCACGTCGCTATGTGTACACCTAGTAAGCGTGTAAAGCGCGCGTCGTCATATGTACATCTAGTACGTGTGTTAAGCGCGCATCAACACGTGAACGCCTAGTACGAGTGTTAAACGCGCGTTGAAACTTTAACGCCTAGTACAAATATAAAGCGCGTGTTGAAATTTGGCGTGTTAGGCGCGCGTCATCATATGGGCGTCTAGAACGTGTGTTAAGCGCGCGTCAACACGTGAACGCCTACTACGCTTGTTAAGCGCGTGTCGGCATTAGTACGCCTACTACGTGTGTTAAACGCATGTCGACATGTGAACGCCTAGTACGGGTGTAAAGCGCACGTCATTACGTATACGCCTAGAAAGCGTATCAAGTGCAGGTTGGCATTTGTACGCCTAGTAAGCATGTTAAGCGACCGACGATATGTGTACGCCTAGTACGTTTGTAAAGCGCGTGACGACATTTGAACGCCTAGTACGTAAGTTAAGCGCGCGTGATTGACTACTTACTACGTACTTGTAAGCCCGTCTTAGCAAAATGCTTTCAAAGGTCTGTTCACAAATTTTTAAACGTACATACATAAACGAAAATAGACTTCAATTCGTTGTAGTAACATTACAAAAAGAAAATACGTGTTGAGTTATTAAAAATTAAAGGCTTCAGGATTGCCACGTTACTATTCACGTCTACACTTGAAGTCCTGACAGCCCTATTCTAATTGTAAGTGTATTCAATAGAATGTTTAAAGCTTGGTAATGTGCAATCACTGGCCCTACGCCAACCGCCAGCTCGTAAAATTAACTGTACTAACAGTTACAGGTTACGTTACAAAGCGCCAACCTTTCAATATTGAAAATTATCAATTGGCTTCAAAACCTGTATTACACGGTGTACACGAGACTATCTAATCTCAAATCGTCATATTTATATTGAACGTTATACGCGATGTTTAATGTCTTTAAAAGTAAGATATAATATAAATAAGAAGTAAAATGTTTAAAGCGGCGTCCTTGGAGTCTAGCTGCCCCTTCAAAGTAAACAATATTTTAAACGACAACGTGCTATGCCAGGGGGAGAGAAATTAATTTTTAAAAATTGAGATGGACGCATGGTTTTGTTTACAAAATAGGAAACCATGCATCCATTTTATAACAAATACTCCGAAGATTATAAAGCTACATATAGATAAACATTTGTAACGGTGGTAACAAAACAGAAAGAATTGATCTTAATAGAATCTATGACACAAATTTCGAGAGTGCACGTGGGATCGGTCTCGGCGAAAGTATCTCTACCAAAACGAGAATGTCCTTAAAAAGAGGCATGAACAAAGGTTGAGCAGAAACAATTCGGAAAATATGCTCCTCTATGAAATATAGACCCGCGCCCAGCGGTGGTAGGCTTGAGTGGACACAGTAAAGTTGTAACCAAGGAACGTTTTGTATTTAATTTGTTTATAGATTCACCGCGAACTTCATATTTAACCGAGTAAAAAAAAATTGAGGATGATGGAAAAACGTGCCGTAAAAATTACTTATTAATAAGACGCATGGTCATGTATTTCAAAGGTATGTACTCTCGCAGTTGCACACATTTCATAATAATTATACACAATAAGTTGGTAAAAATTGTATAAAGGACAAATAACTGCGCCAGTTCAAAGAAAACTACATACACATAAATGAAATAAATAATACATAGAAATAAATACCTTCTAGTGATTTTCGGCATCGTGCACCAATTTTCACATCCGTTTTATATGTCTCTAAAATAATGAGAATAAAATTCTCATTTTCAAAGAAATTTTAATCGTTATCAACACGATTAGTTAAAAAAAGTTTTCGCGGTGACAAGAAAATGCTCGCTTTCCTGCTCAATCCGACCGATCGGCAGTGGGCCGGGCGGGCTACTGCGCAACCAGGGGTGTGTAAACCGGCGCGACTGTAACCTTGAACTGCAACTACAGAAGAGAGATGCAAGTGATCTACCCGGTTAGTTGTTCGGCAGCCTCCTAACTATAGCGACAGGCAGCCTATGTAAAATCAATACCATGACGTCCAAACCGTATGTTGATGTTTTACTCAACTTCTTGGGACTGTTGGTGTTGACGATCGCAATATTTGTTATATGTATTTTTTGGAGACCGCTTACCATTCGCATAAGAAACTACTATGCCAAGAAGAAAGGGGTAATATTAATTGTTTTTTCTTTAATCGTGTTCTATTTTATTTTGCACGCTTTGAAATTTATTTATTCAATGGGCTATTTTAAGTAACAGATACTTATAGATGTAGATGGCAAGTAAGTAAGTTCTTTTTAATTTTGATTACACTTACAGCACAAGGAGCTGATAAAGGATTATTTTGTTTAGTGATTTATCATTGCGTACGCGTACAATTTGTGTTGAATGAAGAAGTGTTGTTGAACCACATGAATATTACAATAACAAAACAATTATATTCTACAAATGTATAATAAAAATATACATTACTTAAAGTCAATACAATTTTCATTACATAGAATAGATAGCAAAATAGAACTGTGTCAATGATAATTTAAATGTAATCTTTGTTATTACTAAGCGGTTCGAGATTAGGGATGTTTTCTCATTTACCGCCGCCACGGGTCGGCGCGCGGCGCTGCCGTATCTTCTAACACTTGTTGATATTTTGAAAGGGAACAATGACGCGACGAATTGTCTTTACAAAGCTTTCAGATTGTGACTTGTTTGTCTTGATTTATTTATTATAGAGGTCTATATATATATTTATATTTAACTATTTCATTGTTAATGTTCTAAACAGGAAAACGATTACGCGTTGATTAGTAAGATTAGATTCGCATATAATTACAGACTTTGTTTTGAACTAATATGCCACTGGGAATTATTGGCATGAATTTGATTGTTTTACAATAGTCATAGTTACTAATTTTCAGGGGAATTTTAATGGTGGTGTTTAATAATTTTGAAAATTTCAAATGTAAATTGATTTACCTATGAAATATATATGTAGATATTTTATGGAAATTAGGAATTAAGCGCTATAGCAAATTACTTAGTTTATGTCACGCACACGACTTTGACTTTGTAATGTAATGTGTTACGTACTCATGTTAGGAAAGTGAAAAATTAATGTAGTGTGTAAAATATTTTGGTACAATTCAATGACTAGTGCAGTGATCATTGGCAATGAACGTTTTTCGGGCGCGAATGGCTATATTTGTTTTTTTGCAATCCCATCGTCACGGGCGACTGAGATGTCATTTAATAAAGGGCCCGAGACGTTGGATTGTCTGGAAAACAAATATACTCGATATAAACCCGAAATAATTGTTTATTAATATCTCGTATTTCAGTTTACACATTCTTTTAATACAGCGAGTTCAAAATGCATGCCTAAGATTTTGTTACCCAATACATCCTACAAGTCATATATCGCCACTTTTAAATAAAAATAAACTATTAAATATGTCTTCACGTCGATATATACATTTTGCCATTCTACTCTTTGGTACAATAAAACATAAAAAAGCCGTTTTACGTATGTAAATGTTTAATATGGTCTTCGCAATTGGGTCTTGGTCGGCTAATTGTCCAGTGTCACAGGACTGCAGCATTTCAAGGGAGCTTTAAGTATGCCGTCGCGGCGAAAATCTGGAATGATTTGCTTTCTCCTATTAGCAATGTAGCTTCTTTACCTGGCTTCCGGAAAAGTATTAAAGAGTTTACGCTAATAGGATAAATAAACGGAATCAATGCCGTAATAATGTTATTCTAAATTGGATATTGTTATTTTAAATGTTTAGTTTACGGAACTAATACTTGTTATTCTTTTAAGTTTTTGTCTAATAAGCATAGCCGTCTACCCCTTCTCGGGCTCCAGCTGAAAATCAGCGCTGTGGCTCTGCCCAGCACTAAGCTGAGCTGGCCGGACTTTGCGGCTATTATTACGTATTTAGTAATATGTATTTTGTTTGGTTTTTAATTGTTTATTCTTTAATTTAAATTTAGATTAATATTATTATTTTTTTGTATATTTATTTGTAATATCCGAATAAATGTTTCTTTCTTTCTCTTTCTTTTATTATTTTACCTATAAAATACTACTATAAACTCGATATGTACACCACTGCCTGGACGTTGCAAATAAAATCCGGCGGTTCTAAGACCTTAAGAACAAACGTGCGCGCGTAATTGACTTTGCTCAAAAAGTGACAATGATTTAGTTCCGACATGTGTAAAAATAACTCCACGAAGAGACATTTACGCTAAGAACACACGGAGCGATTTTAACCCGCGCCCGCCGTGGTTGCGGGACCGCGGCCTCCGTAGAGTGTAGATAATGTATGTAAAATACAATGGCATTAATGACAGCATACGGAGAGACGTTGGCTTTCTGTGTGTGCTCTACCGTCTTTGTAAGGGGTAGTGCTCTGAGTAACTTTTCGAACTGGTGCCACCGTCTCATTTCTATTATACCATTGCCTCCCGCCAAAGCAGTAGAGTCCATTGTCACATCTTATTGTAATTCCACGCGGGCATCTCGTTCGTTTCTTCCTCGAACTAGGAATTGCGCACGCGCCATGTTGGCGTACCCCGCCGGGAGAGACGGATGAATACGATTAAAAAAAAATACGCGATGGCACTTGGACGCGCCCACCTCTCACGACGGTTTATCTTTTTCTTGTAGTTTTCTATGTGTTGCGAGTGTCCTATCTTTTTCCCATACTGTATTACCCATTGACTTACAATTATATGGACGTCGGGTCCGCGCTAAAAAGTGTCCGAACTTATAGGGCGTTAAAATCGTATACAGAGCGTCGTTCACACTTTAGTCTTCATTTATTCGACTGACAGCGAAGCAAGCAAAATTAGACAGTACTGCGATGACATTACAATTTAAATTCTACGTTTTAGCTTTAACATATTCCTTTACATGTCACTACGTTTAAATAGGTTGACTTGGGACATTTTTTTCGTGGTTTTTGTATTAGACCCGTCGTCCATTTATTTGTAAGTCAATGGTATTACCAGATGTTGTCAGTCTGTAATTAAACCGCGAGGGCCTGGACTGGTGCTGTGTTTTATTTGCGACATAGGGCCGCTACAACAGTTATAATTATATTGATTTTCATTGTAAACTAAATCAGTTCTATTTTGTTTGTTGTAAATGGTGGAAACTACAATACACACATTTATCTAAATAATTTGTTTAATATGTATGTATTAAACAAATGATTTATTTAAGTATTCTATATGTATAAGAACCACACCACAATATCACAACGTACAAAATTACAGAAATATTCGTGTAATTAGTTTAGTTTATATACGTGACATACGCGTCCGGTACTCTCGGTTTCAGGGTACACTCAAAAACAGCGTCACAGTGTTTACTCGGCTGTGATATAAGCTCGTGGACCCTTTTAAGCAAGCTACCGCCGCACACTTGACCTTTAAAAATTTGTGAACTTGCTTTTTAAAATTAGATGTTTTGCTTCGTTGTTCTTTTTAGTTATTTTATTTTTTGTTTTACTCAGGGATAAGTTTACCTTTGGTCACCTTTTCTGTAATTAATTATTTATAATCTATTTTTTTGGTGCAATAAAGAATATATTATAATACTTTTGCTTTGTCTTTTTTTTTAATCTTTCGTTTTGTGTATTTTTAACCGACTTTAAAAAATTAGGAGGTTCTCAATTCGACTGTATGTTTTTTTGTATGTATGTTACGCAATGACTCCGGTATTTGTGAACCGATTTTCATGATTCTTTTTTGTTGGAAAGGGGGTTCTTCCATAGTGGTCCCATTTCATTTTGAAGGAAATCGTCTACGTCTAAGGGTGGCTTATCACGCATGAAGATTTATTTTTATAAATAGCGCCTAAAATTTTCTTAAGGAGCAATTATTTTAATGGTTGATTTTGCTATTTCTCCAAATCAAGGCGTCTTTTTCTCAGTATTCTTTGAGCAGTGAGAACCGATTTTTATTATCTCCAGTGTCAAGTTCTTACTAAATAGACTTCATAAGACTTAAGACTAAACTTAGCAAATAGACGTAATTCCACGCACTTTTGAGGTCGGTTTCTTTAATACTCTGTACTGAGATTATGTTGTGGAGTTGTAATAAATGGTTTTTATTCCATTCCATTTGAATCGGGACCATAAACAAAAGTGTTAAAAGGAGGAAAATTCTAGTTAATATTAAATATTTTTTATAGTAATCTTTGTAAAAAAAATTAGTCTACTAATATTAATATGTTTATGTCTTTGTTTTGAGACTATACTCATACATATCTAGAAAACTTGGACCGACTTCGAATGTCGCTTGTGCACAGCGTTCGGTCTGAAACCGGGAAAATGTGGAAATCTCGTGTACATCAAATATTCACAATTATGGCCATTCTGGTGCTGTGTTGCATGCAGCTTTTAAGTCGTTCGTCAACTACGTGTCTTTTTGTCCCTGTTATTGTTCGAACGAAGACGTAGGAGAAATACAGAGATCTCGGCACACACAAAACTGACTTTTCAGAGGAAAACCTTATAATAATTACAATGAAGGCGAGATAGCAAGCAATTTTATCATTAAGTATTGCCGAATGAGTGTGTCCATTTATTATTCTATACGTCGCCGCCACCGCGGGATCGGGTTTAGATCGAATGCAGTGCGCAAGCTTTAAATACAAATAAATAACAATAATAATCGTAGGAACTACTGTCTAAATTATCCTTTAGGACTAACCAGCCGAGTCTCAAGCGTCGACCGCTGCTGTGTGTGCCCGGGGCGCAGACCAATTATAGGCAAAATTAATTTTTTATCCGAGCAATTAAGGAGTACAATCAATCTATTGACACAGATCTGTTCAGTACTAGTGTAGGCTTGATTCGACGAACGTTTACTAAGCACAATTTTACGTAATTATTTATCT